CTTGGTGATCAGAAAGGTTAAGTGTCTTGCCCAAGAACACTAGAAAGTAGTAAAATGGGACTAAAACGCTCCTTTCCAACATTCTTTCTTCTACATCTGTGCTTACCTTCCTGTCAGTTGCCCCTGCACAATACAAATCTATCCCCCAGGGAGAGCCAAGTTCACTAGATCCCTTTCAAACTGCTTATCTTTAAAATGTTGGTGATACTTATGGCTCTTGCAAATTTTATTATAATATCAGAACTATCTCTCAAAACTTTCATTCCCCTAGAACAATTAGTAATTACATACATTATCATTTTAACTTGTTCCTATTAAAATATTTTTTAGTTACCTTATTTTTTTCTTTCATTTTACCTTTCTCCCTATGCTCCCAATCCCCAATCTCTCGGCTTCAGTCTATTTAAGGGACTCAATTACATTATTTTCACCTCTCTCTCTCTCTTTCTCTCCTTCTCTCAGCAGAGCTGCCAGCATATTTCTCTTTAATATTTTATTTTTCTAAGCAAATATGCATCAAATTAAGCAGTTAAAAATATATTGATAGACTGGGGGAAAAAAAGGAAAACTTCCGACGTTTCTGTTGCTTTGAAATGGCGAGAGGTCACACAATCGTCAGGGTGTCAACCTTAGAAGGCGGAGAGCTCATTTGTGTATCTTGCATCTTTTTTATAGAAAGAAACAATAGCTGGATCCCTCGGTTCGGAGCTCTTGGCGCCGCCCAGTGGAGGGAAGCGCCTTTGCATCTCATTCCCATCAGTTGGCATTATCATGTGAACCTTCAGAAACGTTAAAATTAAGTATGATAAGAAGAAACACTCCCTCCAAGTTCATCATAGTCTGTGGGTGAATTTCTTCAAAGTTAAGCTCCATTTAAAAAAAAAAGGATGCTCCAGTTTAAACACAATCCCAAATACCAAATCTAGGTGGTGAAAGTATCTCGTTGAGAGTGTAGTAAGGAACAAAATTTGTTAAAATATGCCAGTGTTCTTTGCAGTAGGAAAGGAGCATCTTTGGCGCTGATCAGCACTGAGGTGTCCTTCAGAGCCAGGAAGAAAAACTTTGTTCTCCATTACCCACAGTTGGCAAGTAACTGTTTTCTGGATGATAATTCTAAAATCTTTCAAAAAATTAAACAATTTTCTTTCTTCCTTCTCTTCTTTTATTTAAGGCTTGAAAGTGAAAGATTATATTTAAACTCATGTTAGTTTAGGGACCCTATTTATTTGTATTTTAAGTCCAGTGAGGAAATCTGAGAGGAAATTCAGTTAATGTATTTCCTTTCATTTGGAAATGTGATTCATCGGCACCCTATTGTATTTCCGAATTTGTGATTTTTTAAAATGAAAAGTGAATTATGCTTACTTTGCCAGAAAATGCATGACTTCTTGGATATATACATTATATATACTCTCAGGAAAAAAAAAATGGCAAAAGAGGAATGTGTCTGGAGAAAAAAGAACTCAGAAAAGTTAAACAAAACTCCAGCTCTGAAGAATTTGTTTTTCATTAAGTTTATGATCTGGTCCTCAAGTTCCTCTTTTGAATCTTCAGGTCACTACTAGCATTTGCTCTCTGGGAGGGACCTAAATTTAGACACCTTAATAAAGTCAAGGTCATACTTTCCCCTCACCATTGCTGCTTATCTCATAACACCCACCCAGAGAAATCTTCTGTGATACTAACCTTTTCTTAAGAGAATACGATCTGAGACATTCACAAGGTGGGGAATACTGGGTTCCCGTTCACTTTGCTGTAGAGTTATCATAAAACACCCACTCTCCCCTGCGCCCAACCCTTCCACATTCCTCTCTCCCTTTCTTTTCAGATTTCAATTTTTCGTAGGGTCATATTTGCACCATCTCCCCTGCCAATGTTGTGAATTATTCCAAGCAAAAAACCCTGTCGAACCGCCCAACGCAAGCGGTGCGATCAGCCTTTTGAGCTCTTGAGTCATTTTAGGCGTCGGAACAAAACAAAAACAGGCTTAAATGAATTATTTATCAAGGTCGAGAATGATTGATTTGTGCAGTGCCGTCAGTTCTGGATTTTAAATTTGTTTTCATCCCTGCCCCACTTCCCATCCTGAATGCGCAGTGAGGGGAGTGTGAGTTGGAGACCCCAGGGCTAGGAGAAAATGCACCTCATCCGGGAAGTTGTGGGCGACAAAAAAAAATGGAAGCACCCTAATCGATATGTGAAGAGGGGAGAAATGTGTAGCGTCCGTTTGCAGTCTCACATTCCTGACGCCCTTCCCACAGTGGTCAACTGCGCCAGAGGCAGGGAGGTGGGGGTGCGCGGGCCGCGAGAGTGTGCGGCGCCCGGCCTCACATGCTGGGCCTTGACACAGTCGGTAAGTTGACCTCCTCCTTTCCTGGCCCGTGTTCGTATAACCCCGGCCGGAAGGCCAAAGCCTGGCCAAAGAGCTCTCTGGAGGATCCCACCTGGCCAGCACTCAGTTCCCGCGCCAAGGGCGGCGGATCCAACCCCGCTCCGGCCTAGCGGGGCCCGACCCCTCACCGGCCACACGTTCCCGAACCTCCCCGCACACCCAATGCTAGCGTCGACCTCCGCCTCGAGCACGTCCCGCGTCCCCGCCTCGGCTCACCAACCCCGGCTCCGCCGCCAAACTCCCCTCGCCTTCTGAGAAAAGCGAGTGCTGCCCGGATTGTACATCTCCTCGCCTCGGTCCCTCTTCTCCCCGTGTTCCCAGAGACAGCCCTAGGAAAAATGGCACACAGATGATAAAAGGCAGCTCGAAATAGCGCGGGCTTGTTCTGGGTCAAACACATGGATTTCCCTAGGAAAACGAGGGGAGAAAGAGTGTCCCACCTACCCCCTTCCGGACTTAGGGTTCACACAGAAGCAGTTCCTGCCGAAAGGCAAGATCTTGTCCCAGGAGGTCACTTGCCTCCCTGACCCTCCTCCCCTCGAGCTCAATACAAAAAAGCTGTTGCCCAGAAAGCGACCTACAGAACTACAACTAAACCCCAGATTTCGGCCCAGCCCTTGGAGACTCTAAAGGCCATTTTCTAACATCATTCTGCATCTAGTCACGGAAGCGATGCCAGCCCCGCAGATTCATAGGGTTCTTAAAATGGTAATTTGGAGTCAATTGTAACTCAAAGAACTTTGAATCATTCATTAGCACCTTATAATTACTCTGCTAATTAGGTTGACACGGCACTTAATCAGGAGTAATACGCCGTCTTGTCACTGGCACTTCCCATTACTCTGATATTCAACAAGAGACAGGTTGGAGACGTCCTAGAGAAAATAATGCAAGTTGATACCCTCCGACGAGGCGTCACAGTCATGCGTCGGGTCCCAAGTGGATCCACAGTGACTGTTTCCTTTCCAAATGAGCGGCCGGCCGAAAGGGGTGGGGGTGGTCGAACTGGCGTGCGGCGCGGCTGGGGCCCAGGCTGAGACCCGCCACTCGGGGTCCTGAGCCCCACGCCGGCCTGACACCACAGTGAACCGTGGTCGCCCTCGCCACCAGAGAACGCTCCGGGCGTTACTTCCCCCGCTCAGGAGAAAGTGTCTGGCCAGGCATTTATTTCTTCCAGCACGGGCTCTCAGTGGAGACAAGCTGGGTCCCCGGTTTTGAGCCGCAGGCTCGGGCTTCCCCGCGTGCCCGGTGGACGCGGACCTGGCTGCATCTTCCTCAGGGACCGGCCGCCCCGCTGGGCTCAGCCCGAGCGCCTGGGTTTGTCTGGGGACAAATCAGAGCTGGAGCCCTCCCATGCGGAGCTCCAGCTCCCCAAGTTACACAGTTTCCTGTGGGTTCTTTAGGAACTCCCTTCTCTGCTCTGGAATAGTGTCTTCCCACTATTCCAGCGCGAGTCTGGGGAGGCCGCGAGGACCGCCGCGCTGGCGTCTAAAGGTGAGTCAACCCAATTCCTTTTCCCTTCCGGTCCTCTTTCCCCTCTCTTCTGACTTCTTAAGAAAGGGGGTACATCCTTACTACTGTTTCTCTTTCCTCCCCTTTGGCTCCCTCTAGTCTCCTCTGTTCTCTTCCCCCCTCCCTTTGCCCCTCACTCGTGATTGTGGACACCGGGACCACTGGACTAGGCGCTCGGCTCACGGCTGCGAGCACAGGGCTGTGCGGGTTCTCAAAAGAGCAGCGGGTCCGAGCCGCGTTCGCTGACGAGCTCGCGAGCCGTGCGCCCATTGGCTCCCGGCACGTTGGCGTCGTTCGCTCGCGCGGGCACGGCCAATGGGGGCGCGGGGCCGGGCGCGCGGCCTCGGCGGCGGGGGCGCGAGCCCAGCGCGGCTCGGCGCGGGGAGCGGCGGCAGTGGCCGTGACGTCACGGGAGGGGGTCGGCGCCGCCCGCGAGCCGCCGGATTACAAGCGAACGCGCCCGGCAGCGGCCGGAGTCGCCCGGCGTCGCGTCTCCGCCGTCTCCTCCGCCTGCGTCTGCTGCTTCTCTTCTTCCTCTTCTTCCTCCTCTTCTTCTGGTTGCCGCTGCCACTGCAGCCGTGTCTGCTCCACAACTTTCCAAGAAAGTTCAGAAACTCGGCTCTGGGGCGGTCGAGTCGCGCGCAGCTGCCACCTCAGGAGCCGCGGGGGAGCTCCAAGGGTGCGCGGCCGCCGGGGCTTCGCGGTCGCTGCACCTGCCACATCCGCCGCCGCCGCTGCCGCCCGGTGCCAGGTTGTGGGCAGACCCAGGCGGCGGTGGCGGCGGCGAAGGAGTCGCTTCCTGCCGCCTGCGCCTTCGCCCGGGTCCCGGCGCGGCCACCGCCGCCCCACGTGCGCCGTCGTTCCTGGAGCGCACATTCTGTGGTTTCTCAAAAATTTTTGTAACTTTCCCCCCCGTCTTTCTTTCTCCCCACCCCTACTTTTTGCATAAGGGAAAAAAGTGTCGAAAGTGTCCACCGATTGTCACCTCCCAATTATCCTTCCTTTCCTCCCCAACCCTACTTTTTTTTTTTTTAAGCGGCGGCAATATTTAGTGTTTATTTTGTTTTACTGTCGATAGCTTCCTTTGCTTGTTCTGGGCGGCTGCTGAACGACGGAGTGGCGTGGACCTCATGTAAAAATGACGACAATGGAAGGGGCCAGCGGGTCGAGTTTTGGAATAGACACGATTTTGTCCAGTGCGAGTTCGGGCAGCCCCGGCATGATGAATGGAGATTTCCGCCCGCTCGGTGAGGCCAGGACTGCGGATTTTAGGAGTCAGGCCACCCCGTCCCCCTGTTCGGAGATTGATACCGTAGGAACGGCGCCTTCTTCTCCTATCTCGGTCACTATGGAGCCCCCGGAGTCGCATCTGGTAGCGGACGGGCCCCAGCATCACCACCACCTCCACCATAGCCAACAGCCGCCGCCGCCAGCAGCGGCCCCGACGCAAAGTTTGCAGCCTTCGCCCCAACAGCAGCCGCCGCCGCCGCCGCCCCAGCAGCCGCCGCCGCCCGCCCAGCAGCTGGGCTCTGCCGCCTCGGCCCCCAGGACTTCCACCTCTTCTTTTTTAATTAAGGACATCTTGGGCGACAGCAAACCTCTGGCGGCGTGTGCGCCCTACAGCACCAGCGTCTCCTCTCCCCACCACACCCCGAAGCAGGAGAGCAACGCAGGGCACGAGAGCTTCAGGCCAAAGCTCGAGCAGGAGGACAGCAAAACCAAACTCGACAAGCGGGAAGATTCCCAGAGCGACATCAAATGCCACGGTGAGTTGCGCCGCCCGGGCTCTCTCAGCCCGCTAGCTTCTCCTCCTCGTTCCCCTTTTCCCCTTTAGCCTCCGGCGAATCTGACGGGGAGTTTTCCCCGGAGCTTCTCGGGCGATGGGGCGACGGTCAAAAGACTGCAAGCTGGAGGGAGGCCTAGGCGTGCGATTTGGTAACTAGTTCTGTTTATTGTTACATTTTCACCCTACAGCCTTCGCCGCCATCCAGCTCCTTTCTTTGTTTTACTCAATTTTAATTTATCAGGGGGTGGCGGCGGTGGAGGCCATCTGACTGGAAATACTTTTCGTTGATAAAGGGACGGTCTTGAGGTTTTCCTAGCCGAGACCTTGGGAATGGGAATGGGAATGGGAGGAGGTGGGAGAGAGAAACCGCTCAGCAAGCGTGGTGTCTAGGGGTGTGAATAAACAACCTGGTGTTTATTCTTTAATGCAGTTGATTTCACGCCCACCCCCACATCTTATTTTCTAAACACCACTACAGGAATTTACTGGATTTAATGAAAGAAAAATTTCCAAATTGATTAACAACAACTTTTTTTCATTAGATTGTGTAGATCAGAAAAATTCATAAACAGTTTTTTAACAACATCCTTATTACCCCATGGCCCCAACTGAATATCTGTATCTTAGTAAGATTTTTGGCCCCTTACAAGTAATTGGGAGGTTGCATTTATAAAAATAAATTTTTATGGACTTGAATTTATCTATTTTTTGTAAAATCGGAAGGTAAAAATTGAAATTATCCTTCAACTTCCTTTTTACATTTTCTTCTCAGATAATTTCATAAGTAAATGTTGTGGTTTGGGCATGACAAGAGTTTTAGCATACCAGGAGACTTTTTTTCACCTTTACTGATAAGTTTATTATCATCTTTATTATTAATCCTTGTTTTTCTGGTAAAGATATATGCTGACTGTCTGGAAGGTAGGATGCTCCTCATTTTACTATAATGGTATTAGCATAATAGTGTCCAAAGCAGATGTACAGTCTGGTCTGGCGTTTTTTGTGCACCAACCTCCCCAGTGGGTCAATTAGAGAGATTATTGTTCTTCCTGCAGGGAAGATCAAGGAGCACTGCACAAACGGGTACAAACAGAGAGGGATTGACATATCGATTTCCCAGCATTTCAGTAAAAAACCAAAGTTGACAAATAGAATCCGGAAATCTCCGTGCTGTCACCTGGATGGGCTCAGTGATTTTGAGCTCAGCTCGGTGTGTCTGTGTGACAAATTCTTTTGGAAGCTTTAAAAGACCTGATGCAGGCGGCTGCACAAAGCTTGATTCCAACATTTTCCAAGTGCATCTGAAAAAGAGAAACAAATGCCTATAACTTTCAGTAAAAAGAAACAAGTAAAATGAAAAAGGTACCCCCCTCAAAAAAACAGAGTAGAAAGACCCTTTGAAAAGTACCAAATCAGAGAAACAAAGTCATAACGAAAACATTAAAAAAAAAGGGGCAGTGTCTCCCCCCAATCAAGGAAACAACAAGAACAAAAGAACCCTTTATCGAAAAGTATTTTTTTTTCTTTTTAATTGTCAACCATGTGAGGATCACACATAAACCCCTTTAGGACCTTCAAACAAGGCCTCCTACTCCCCAATCAGAAAATGGCCCTCTTGCTCTGTACTGGCTGAGGCCCAAGTATGTGAGTGAGGGGGGTGGCAGAGTATAGTCCCCTGAGAGGAGTGGCTGGCTTGGGAATGTGGAAATGTGTGCCAGGAGGACACTCCATCCTTCCCCATTCTAGCCTAACTTACAGCTGTGGCTGGGTTTCTATCATAGGAACAAAGGAGGAAGGAGACCGGGAGATTACAAGTAGCCGAGAGAGTCCCCCTGTGAGAGCGAAGAAGCCTCGCAAAGCCAGGACTGCTTTCTCCGACCATCAGCTCAATCAACTCGAGCGTAGTTTTGAGCGGCAGAAGTACCTGAGTGTGCAAGACCGCATGGACCTGGCTGCTGCGCTCAACCTCACTGACACCCAAGTTAAGACCTGGTACCAGAACCGCAGGTAAGGGAGGCTGTTTGGCATAGCGAAGGTGTCTGGCCATTTAAGTCATGAGCATCGTACCAGTCTTCTCTCCTGGCCTTGGGAGACTCTTGGGAGAGTGAGAGAGCCTGGAGTGGGTGCTTGGGTGCTTTCAGGCTGCGGCAGGAATTAGCCACACCCCCAAGGTGAGAGGGACTGAAGGGCAGCTGAAATTTGGACAGTTTTGCACTTCTAAGTATCTTAACAGGTGCTACTTTCCTTCTGAAACCTGAGTGGCTGGAATTCCCCCCACTTCATCCCAAATCAATCAAGCCACACCTTCTCAAATTGAGACATCTGTACAGCTGACACTTAGGCCCAGAGAGCCTGTGTGGGGCACCCCTTGGGCCCGCCCTAGGCTGGTTCCAAATGTCTGTAGCCGGCAACGCTGCCTGGCTATTGCAGTCCCACAGAGCTGTCCCACCAGCCTTGGCTTAAATGTCCTTGCTTTGGCCTGCGAGGCGGCTGAGAGAGGCAGGGTCCAAGCCTTGGTCTGTGTAGCTGCAGAGAATAGGAGAGCCCAGCTGGGTTAGAATTGGGTTGGTAGCCTCAGGCTGGAGAATTGGGCAGCTGGCCAAGCATCCGGACTTGGGGCGGGGTAGAGGGACTGTCCCCTGTACTGGCTGCCTCTGCTGCTGTCTAGACATGGAGAAAGGGTGCTGTGGAGCCTGCCCAGCACTGCTGCTTCTTTAGAAGGGAAATTGGGAAAGCAAAAGAGGCTGGCAGTGCTAGCCGGGTCCTGAACTGTATGAGCGCGGAACCCGGGCAGTTGGTGGAGGTTATGCTGTTTTCCCCAAGCCTGGCAGTCTTCTGCCTTGTCCCGATCTGTCTCCCGCTCCTTTTCTCTTCGTTTGTGTTCTAATCACCCATAAGTGCGGTTGGAAATGCCCATCCAGTTGTCATCTTTACCATAATTTTCTGTCTCATTACATACGGTTTCAGCCACCCTAATTCTGTCGGAAAACATTAGTGTCATTTGTAGCCAATTTAAAATGGGCGACATGTTTATTAATTTGGCTGAAGCTGCTGGGTATGAATGGCTCACCAGCCTTGCGTTCCTTCATAAAGCATTTGAGCAAACGCCTGCTCATCTCTTCTTCCTAGCTGGGTGTGTGATGGGGGAGGGAAGAGACCGAGAAAAGCTGATCACAGGTTTTAATTGTTGCTTTCTCCCCAAGGAAGAAATATCTTGAAATGCATTCCCTCCCCCACTCGCACAAATGGCCGGGAGGTACTGTCCCCTTGGGAGAGCCCTCCCTCAAACGAATTTGAGACCTTGTTGCCCTCCTCTCCCTGAACCCCCTGCTCACTGTAAGGTCCTGTCAGGCTGATGAGAGAGAGATGTGTTTCCACAGCCTGGGGACTAACAGGGGCTGGGGTTGGAAGCCCAGGAGTCTCTGTGTCCCTTTGTTTATGGTTTCTTCTCTCTCAGCTTGGAGGGAAAAAAGAAGGACCGAGAGTGGACATTTTGGGATTGTTGGGGGGTGACATGTGGGAGGGGAAGGAAGAGACAGAAGACTGCCTAGGGAAAGAAGGGTCTCATTTATCCCCCAGGAAAGTTTCAGGAAGTAGCCAAACTATAAGAGGGACAACAGCAGAGCAGAGGGATAGGAAAAGGCAGCAAAGCTTGTGGAATTTCATTTGTGAGTGTTTCAGATGTTAAGGGTATAATTTACAAAATTGACTTTGGATTTGGGTTGTTCTTCGTTCTTCCAGCAAGGCTCGTGCAGGAGATGGGGTGCATTCCTGGTGCTCAGCGGTCTCTGAGTCTTCCTGCCACCTTCGGGACAGAGAAGGGGGAGGTGGGAGAGGGCCAGAAAAGGGGCCAGGGTCTTGCTGCCTGCACAGTGCCCACAGCTGTTGGGTGCATGCACGCCGCTTTCTTTCAGGACCAAGTGGAAGCGGCAGACTGCGGTGGGCCTGGAGCTGCTGGCTGAGGCGGGAAACTACTCGGCGCTGCAGAGGATGTTTCCGTCCCCTTATTTCTATCACCCCAGCCTGCTAGGCAGCATGGACAGCACTACAGCGGCAGCGGCTGCTGCTGCCATGTACAGCAGCATGTACCGGACTCCCCCAGCACCCCATCCCCAGCTGCAGCGGCCCCTGGTGCCCAGAGTGCTCATCCATGGCCTGGGGCCCGGGGGACAGCCAGCCCTCAATCCCTTGTCCAGCCCCATCCCAGGCACCCCACACCCCCGGTGAAGAACGGGCAGAGCAAAGGTGTTGCAATCCCTCCCCCATACCCCACTACCCGGACAGCTGCCCCTCCTCTCCCTGCACCAAGCCACCAGGCCTCCCTGGCAGCTGACCCTGGGAGGCAAAGGAGAAGGGGAGGAAGAGAAGATGCTCACCAGTGGGCGGAGGACCCTCAAAGACGAGCCAGCCCTCTACTCTGCGTCTCCCCACCCCCTGAGATAGGGCTGGAAAGCTCTCCCACAGCAGTGTGACGGGCGAAAACGCTGAACCCACACAAAGTGCGACCAGTAAGTGAAAACATCAACAAAAACAAAACCTCAAGTTCTTTTAAGCAAACGACTTTAGGGACAAGGAGGAAGGAGGGAGGGGGGAGGGACAAGGAGGCAAGGAAGAAGGGCACGGAGCGGAAACTGCACAGGCAGAGAGAATTGTCGATGGACAGATAGCCTCAAGTTCCGAGGCAGAGGGCGTTGCCGTGGACATTCCGACTGCCCCAGAGAAAAGAGGAGGGTGACTGAGAACTTTGCACTGATTTCTCATGACCTTTTTTCTTTTGGAAAAGTGGCATGCTCCATAATATGAAAAAAAAATGTACATTTGAAAGACTGAGTGATAAGTGATATATCATATTTATTATATGTTGTCCAAAAGAGAGTCACTTATATACGTTAGTAAAAACATGATTTTTCTTTTCATGTCTTTTTGATTCAGTAAAATAAATGCTTAGACAAAAATATAGATTTTTTTGTGATTGAAAATTACAAAAATAAAGTTTATCTTTTTTTAACAAGTGATGAAATCCAAGGGAGCTGATTTTGCTAAAGCAGAATGTACTATGATGAGATGTGTGACTTGGTTTAGAAAGAATCCTTCCGGAATATTAGGAATTTACAACATCTGTGAAGATGTTGGATTGGCTTATGTAAAAACAGCTCCATTTTTTTATGCTGGCCTCTTCTGAGCCATTATTTGATATGTGTGAGTTCCTTTCTTTTTAAGTGGACGGTTTCAGAGAGCCCATGAGGCTGCGGGAGAAAGTCAGTACTTGTAGGCTGTTGGTGCTGGCTAAGTGGACGGCCAACTTCTGCCGTCCTGGCCGGCCTGGAGTCCCCAGCTTGACCGGGAGTGGCGATCCCTCTGCTCACCCCTCCCCCTTCTCCTAGGGGTCTTCTTGGGTTAGCCCTGGGCGCTGAGTGCTGGGCGGTGACGACGGTGGCAGGGGCTGGGCGGCGGGAGAACGCTCCTCCGGCCTCGCAGCTGTTCTGCCGCCTGCGGCTGGGCGCCCTAGCGGCCCGGACAGCCTGCGAGCAGGAGGCTGCAGGGCGAGCAATTAGGACGCCCCGGGGGACTCAGAGAGGACTCACTAACAAACCCTTGTCGCGGCTTTGATCCTTGCCTTCTCGGTCGCCCGGCGGCGGGCGTCCAGCCCCCAGCTCCACACAGAGCCACTTGTGAGTTCGTTGGGCTGAGATGCCTGGAGCAGGAATGCAAAGGCGAACTCTGGCTGAGACAGGCGTGCCAAGCCTTTTATCCGCGCCCCTGGGATGGCTGGGGCTGCAAAACGAGAGAGACCCTGCCCAGACTGTGGAGGAGGCCCGTTTCCTGCTTTAGGAGTGTCTGTGTGTGTGTGCATGCGTGTGTGCACGTGTAAATGCTCATAGTACCCCAGCGAAGCCGGCTGCAAGCACCCCTGTGCAAAGCTGGCTTCCTACCAGGCTCAGTGCTCAGGACTGTATGAGGGAACAACTAGTGGAAGGTGCAGTCCTGAGCCTGCTCCCAGGATACTTCCTGAGTAGCCAGTCAACCCCCTATCTGGGTATCCTCAAATTTCTATCCTCACTCCTGTCCCGGTACAGTGACAAAGGGGTAAAATACATCTAGATCTGGCCTCCAACTTTCTCTGATGCTTGAACCTTAGTAGAGTTAAAAGTGTTTTTAAAAATGTGAAGTGGTGTGGGAATGTATGTCGAGGAGGGGTGGGAAGGAAGAAGGGAAGAAAGGTGAAATCTGGGCAGAAATTGCCTCGGGCGCCTTGATCAGACCTTGGCTAATTAAGGAGTGGTTTTTGCAGATTTCTCTTCAGCTCATCAATTTGCTTTAAACTAGGTTTTGGTCTTGTTTGATTCTAACAAAAGGGCCTGAACTGGCCTTTCTCATTTTCTGCCTGCTGAGCTGGGACAAACTCAGACAGCTGGGCTTGGCCGAAAATTGGGCGCCGCTGTGTCCAGTGGGGATGCCCAATGCTGGGCACTCAGCAGACTCTCCTTGTTCCATCTTAGCTCTGGTTGGGTTTTTCGATCAAGTTTAAGCAGTTTAAAAATGGTCTGCCTAGGCCTAAAAAGGCATTTTTCAAGGCTTGAGGGTGCTACAACTTCTCTCTGCACTGAACCTGGGGCTGGTCAGCTCTGGGCACAAAGGGGACCTGGAACGTCACAAAGTTCACACATACAAAGAATTACCTCAAGTCCAGGTGGGGAAAACACACAAAACTACAAATCCCAAACAAGGCCAGAGCACCCATTTGCTGCCAGCAGCTCACCAGCCACCCTGCCAGGGAGTCTATTCGCTGCCCATTCACTCTCAAGGCTCAACTTGGACTCCCTAGGTGAGCAATACAGGGGGAAGCACTATGCCTACAGAGACCAACCTCACATTCTGCTGCTGTTAGCTATTACTCTGGATCCACCAGAGTCCCACCCCCCTCAAGTTCAATTTTTTTTCCAAAGATATGTTTTCTTTCACCCCCTAAATCATGTAGTTGAAAGTGGTCAACCCCCCTTTTAAATTTGTTTTGGTTACTTGCTATTGCTATTGCATACAAGTTGGCAGATTGGATGCTGGGGGGAGGGGGATTGTCCAGGAAGAAATTTGGGTGGGTGCTGGGTTCCTTTCCATTTTTTTTTTTTGTCTGCAGCAGTACTGCAAAGGCCACCTCAGCAGGTGCCCTAGTATTCAATAGTCCCTAAATTACTGTTTAAAAATCAGGTGGAAACCCAGTTCTTCTTTACAAGAGATCCTCTTTCCTTCTGTGCTTGCTCAACTAAGTTGGGGGTTTGGCTAAGAGGTGAGAAGAGCAACCTCAGGTTTTCTGACAAGGAAGGAACAAGAGAACAGGCAAAGGCCTTTTCTCTCGGGAGATCCGGAGTTAGTTACAGAGGCCCAGAGGGACAGCTGTTCTTGGGAGCTGCCCTCCTTTTCTTTTTCCCACCTTCAGCTGGTGTCTGAAGGGCACTCCATGGCTGGACTCCATTTAGATTGCTTCTCTGGTTGGAGGCTAGCAAAACGGACTTTCAGTGGCAATCTGATTCCTACAGAAGCACAGGAATATGAACTTGTTTCAGAGAGGGGTTTAAAAACCTATGAAAGTCCCTTAGATTTTTTCACCTCAAGATCACCTTAGGGACCCCAGAAAACCTAGCACAAATCTGTAGTGAGTGTAGGGGAAGAAGTTAACTCACCAGCTAGCAGCTTGCTATTCTAGCCCAAGCCAGCGATTTTCAATGACTTGCAAAGTAATGATAGCTACTTGGTTCCACGCCTCCAGCAAATATACCTACCGCCTTGTATCAGTTTATTTTTGCTCCACCCCTTAAAATGAAAGCCCACACGATGGCAAGTTAGACAGTCAATTTCCTCTGTTGCAGATAAAACTGCATACTCTCCCTCCTCCTCCCCTCCTTGCCATCTGACTCCTGCCTAGGCAGCCCTTCCCCAGGAGTCTGCTGCATCCCACCTCCCTCTTTAAACAGGCAGCTTGTGAGTAGTTTGTTTTGTTATATTTTTAACTTTCTAAAAATATTTGGAAAAGCTCTCCCCAGGGCTAAAGAAACTTTAGCTCTTGTTAAGCCACGTGGTTACAAAAATATACTGGAAGAAAGCTGCTTGGTTTTTGAAAAAGCCAGACACTGCTTGAAGACAACATGCTTGGAAAGAAACTGACTTTTAACCACTGGCAGAAACGGTCAGGGGCAGGGCCAAACCTGGGAGGGAACTGATGTTTCCTGTGCAGCTCTGAATCCTTGGTGAGGGAAAGCTGGCTTGCCCCATGCCCTGGCTGTTGACTAGAGAAAGGTGTGGGCAGATAAGTGAGTGGGGGTTTCTCCAGGGTTGACCTCATGGACTCTGGAAGTGTCCCCGGGCTCCTTGATTGAGTCTCCCACTAGGTCTTTGTCCAGTCCTACTTCCTTGGCCATCTCCAGACTTCCTCTTTACCATTTGTGTCTTTTCCCAGAGCCGGGCCTCCCGCCAGGGCTCTGCACCCGGCGCCTTCCCTTCTTACCTCTGGCAGGCTGAACACCCCCAGGACTGGGGAGGAGGAAGTGTGTGTGGGGGGTGGGTGGGCGGAGAGGTGTGCTTTCAGAGAAAAAGAGGTGTCATTGGCCTCTTGCTTTGAAAAATAAGGTCGGCTATCTCAGGGCAATGAGATGACCCAGAAGGGACTTTTTCCTTCCTTCCTTCCGCCTGAATTTTGAAGGTCTCTGTCCGTTTGAGTATTGCTGGGTGGACTGTCTTGGTCAGCCTCACATTCTCTATCCTCTCTACCACTCCTTGTCTCTCCCCCTGGGTCTCTTTCTCCCGATTTCTCTCTCCTAGCACCACAGACAGCTCCCTGGGCGCGCGGTGGAGCAAGGTGCCCGGGGCTGGCGGGTTCCCCGCAAAGCCTGGGCGGCCGCAGGGGGCGCGCCAAGGAAAGGTCCGCGGTGCCCGCGGGGGACGTCCTCGAGGTGATTACAAAGCGCCCTCCCCGGCAGCGTTTCCTGATTAGCTCTAAGTCCAAACAGGGTTACATTCCAAAGAACAAAATCTTCAGATCAATAAAGTAATTCAAAAACCAAAAGATCTCGGGGTAAGTAGTGCTCAGTGACAGATCAACTCTAAACCGTCCCTATTTAATAAGTTCTTAGTGGAAGCCGACTGGGTTGGGGGGAGGAGGCCTCAGCTCTGCTGCTCCAAAGCCCTCGCGTCGCGGCTGCGGCGAGGTCGCCAGCGGAACCTCTCTAAATGGCATTTATTTCCTCCGCTCGCACAGCCCTGAGCGCGCTCGGCGAGCCGCCGCCTCGGCCGGTGGAGGCCCAGGAGAAGCGCTCCCGAGGCGGCCGCTCTGCAGGTCGCGCTGCGCCGCGGCCCGGATCTCCGCCGCGGCTCCCACCACGCGCCCTCTTCCTACGGGTTTGGGACTTTCCCAGCTCCCGCTGCTCGCTGGTCGGGGACAGCAGGTCGCCCCTGCGGGAGCTCCACTGAAAGAAGGGGACCTTCGCGATTGCGAGATTGAACTTGATTTACGATAAAAGGGCCTTGTCACTTTGTGGAGCTGATTCCCGCCTCTACCCACCCCCATCTCCCGCCGTCAGACTTGATTCCTTCGTGAAGAGGCCCTCAGTGTGGCCATCCTCCCGCCCACTCCTAACGATTCGCGCACGTCGCAGCCAGGGATTTGGCGAGGCGGCCTGGAAGCCCCGCCGCAGTGCGCCGGCTCCGCGCCGGCTCCTCCGCGGTGCGCCCCCAAGCCCGGCCCCGCGCTCCTCCGCTCCCAGGACAGCCCAGCTGCCACGAGCTCGTGGGCTCGGTTACAGATCGTGTTTCAGGGAGGAATGGGCACATCAGGACAGGGACCCTATAGGCCTGGGACAGGAATCCAGATGATTTCACGGACGGTGCTTGGAATGGCCTACAGAGCAGGGCCCTTCTCTCACATCTCGGTGGGCCCTGGAGGGAATAGAAAGCCTTCTCTTCAGGTGGAGATAATGTAATAATCTTTGCCCAGCTGGGAGCTCATATCTGCATCCAACT